GGTATAAGCAATTTGATATTGGATTGTGTGTAAAAATGTGTGTTGTTATATCAACTGTTTTATATGCTTGAAAGAATAAATCAAATCAAATCAAATCAAATCAAACTTTTGCACCATTAAAATGAATGGGGAAATTGTACTTCAGCATACTTTCAGCTATTTCACGTATCAAAATATTCAGCTCTTCAAGGACATTGATGCTACTACTCAATTTTTCTAAATCTCATACCTTTGAAATATTTCGCTTTACTTTGAAAATCATGCCCCACTGAAATGAATGGGAAAATTCTAGTTCAGCATACTTTATCAAAATGTTCAGCTCCTCAGGGACATTCATACTTCTATGCAGAATTTTTCTAAACTTCATACTTTTGAAATATTTAGCTTTATTTTGAAAGTTTTGTCCCATTCAAATGAATGGGAAAATTCTACTTCAGCATACTTTCAGGTATCAAAATGTTCAGCTCTTCAAGGACATTGATGCTTCTAAACCTTAGACCTTTCGAAATATTTAGCTTTATTTTGAAAATTTTGCCCCATTTAAATGAATGGGAAAATTCTACTTCAGCATACTTTCAGTTATCAAAATGTTCAGCTCCTCAAGGACATTCATACTTCTATGCTAAATTTTTCTAAACTTCATACTTTTGAAATATGTAGCTTTATTTTGAAAATCTTGCCCCATTCAAATGAATGGTAAAATTCTACATCTGCATAATTTCAGCTATCAAAACTATTCAGGTGTCAAAATGTTTAGCATTTTCACTCAGCATCTATATGCATTTTCTTCAGAAAATGCATTTTTCTAGTTTTATGCTAATATTTTGGGTTTTTTTTATTTAAGAATTTGAATGCAGGACTTCTACTTGATATGTAACGCAGACCTAGAGACTCTTGCTATCAATTGCAAACCTTTTTACTCTGCCCGTGAATTTAACAGTTTCATGCTAATGGTAGTGTACCTAAAACCACAGGTGAACGCTAGCGCACTACGGCTCCTGGCCAAACTGATAACTAGCCTGGAGCTAGAACATCCTGACTCTCCACTCATTGTTCTAGGAGACTATAACAGAGCAAATCTCTCCCATGAACTGCCCAAATATAGACAGCACATTACCTGTCCCTCCAGGGACAAAATCACACTGGACCACTGCTACACAACAATAAAAGACGCTCTGTCCCCTGCGCAGCCCTCGGACTCTCAGATCACTGTATGGTCCATCGTATTTCAACCTACAGGCAGAAACTAAAAGCTACGGATCCTGTGTTCAAAACAGTGAAGAGCTGAACTGAGGAGGCCTGAAAAGCCAGAAAAGCATCACTGGCTATAGGAAACCAACTTCAGGAAGAGCCCCCCCACCTTACCCCCCTCACCATACTTGGCAGCACTGTATCAGCTGTAAAGTCCTACAAGTTCCTGGGCTCCACTATCTCCCAGGACCTGAAGTGGACATCCAACATCAGGACCATCATCAAGAAGGCACAGCAGAGGATGTACTTCCTGCATCAGCTCAGGAAATTCGACCTTCCCCAGGAGCTGCTGATACAGTTCTACAGAGGAATCATTGAGTCTGTTCTCTGCACCTCCATCACTGTCTGGTTTGGCTCATCAACCAAACATTATACAGATCCTTACAGGTCTCTAGTTTTAAGTACTCTATTTTTATTTCTACTTATCTCATTTCAATGAGCATTCCTTCCCTGTCTGCATTGTTTACTGCCTGTTTATACTGCTTATTTTGCATTGTTTGCACTGTTTGTTGCTTGCTAATACTGCTTATTTTGTTATACTACACAGCCTTATGTTGGTTTACTGTTTACTTGCCCCTTGCATGGGGATATGTACTTACACATTGAGAGCCGATATACCAGAGTCAAATTCCTCGTGTGTCTGACGCACCTGGTCAATAAAGCAGATTCGGATTCGGATTCTGATTTTGACAGAGTATTTTTACTCTGCGGTATTGCTACTTTTACTTCAGTATGTCTTCCACCGCTGCCCTTTTTTAAGAGATGAAATAAAATGGTTGCCCCTGAGACTAGTGTCTGCTGAACTGAACAAAACTGTTAGTTAGCTGTGGTAACCTTTCATGGTGTTAGAGAGATCGTGTTGTGAGGTGCTTCCTGTTTATAACTAGTCTAAGTGTAATTTACTAGCATATTTTTATGACGAACTAGCCATGCCTTTACTCAACTCATTGCAAAGAGCGTCACCTTTTGTTTGTCCCAGATTTCCTGCCCAAGGCAGTGAATGGCCTTGCCTGCTTCAGGACAACACTTCCAAGAAGGTTGATCTGTGGAAAACCTGATGTGCTGGTCTCTCGACTTTTCTTGAAGATTCAGTCAAGACAGAAACAATGGAATCAACCCTTTCAAGGTCAACCCTACAAAAAGGCCTAAGATTTAAAAAAAATGTAAAAGAATGCATTTATCCATTATGTGCAAAATGTAACAAACATAGAATATCCACTCAGTTAGTCTCCAGTCCAGCTCACTGTGGAAGGAAACCCTAGAGAGCAACATGCAGGAACAGGAATCTAACCCCCAACCTTCTGTCTGTGGCTTCCATGTCCCAAACACAGACAAAGCAAGCAAATCCTCTGCCAGCATTCATTATACACAGTGCCAGATTACACAATGCCACTAAATTCCCTACATATGCAAGTAATAATGTGACATATATGACTCATCTATTTGTTTTCATTTAGCATTTTTGGCCTGGTTGAGCATCAATCTTGGTAATGATTCACAGGGGATGATTACATAGATTAAATACTAATATTTCCACAGTGCACTTAGTGAAATTGTACACTTTCCCTTGCCCCTTCTGTACATATTGCTGGGAACAGTGGCCTCTTGGGAACCTACCCTACCATATTACTCTTGTGGCTAATTTCAGCCAACCATCTGCACCATAAGTGTGGATGTAGACAATCTGTCACAGCAAAATATATATTACACCTGCCCAATTTTTTTTAAAACCTCTTCACTGCCACTTCTTCAAAAACGAGAGGTGCACCAAAAGCTTCCTCTGTTGTTTTGCTGAGCATGTGGGGAAGGATGGACAGCATTTCAACAAAAATGTCACAACAAAGAAAGACACAAGGATGCCAATGTGCAAAAAGGGATAATTGTTATTCATCTCTATGTCTGTGCTTGTGAGTAAGCCAAAATAGCATCAAGGACTGCTGATGCACTTAAGCCAAGAGGAGACGCACATGAACATGTCTATACTGCATCTACGCTAACTTTGTCTGGCTGATTCCTCTACCACTAATCTCCTCCTCCCTTGCCTTAATAGAGTGGGAGGTACAGTACAGCACATATACCATAGGATTGTTATTCCTCTGCACAGGATGTGAACAATGAAGCTGGTAAGGTAAAGTAAACAGAAGCAAAAGTCATCCCCACAACAGAGAATGTAAAGAGAGTTTTAACCTATTTGTATTTTCTAAAGATTAAGTTACTTGATTTTCAATGCCAAAATTTGAGATTAATTACAAATTTAGGTTTTGGCACTAAATACCTGGAGCCAATCCCAGCTGACACTGGGCGAGAGGCGGGGTCCACCCTGGACAGGTCGCCAGTCTGTCACAGGGTGACATGTAGACAAACAACCACACGCACTCACACTCCTAGAGTCACCATTCAACCTAAACTGCATGTCTTTGGACTGTGGGAGTAGTTACAGCTTTCACCAAATAAACACAGAATTCAAAACACACCCCAAGGATACACAGTATATGTTGATTTCTTAGCAGAAAACAATTCTATTGTAACTTGTTTTGCACATACAGTAAATAATAAAAACACAGATTATTAGCAAGTATAGATTACAATTAAAATCCCAGCCAAAGCTGGCATTGATCCCATACGGTACATGCCAAGCTGTATTGCCAGGACTGTACCTATTGATCAACTCATACTAGTGGAGAAGGGCTGCAGGATCCCAGTGAGACCAGTACATTAATCAAGGCAAACAGAGAGATTTGACAGTAGTGAAAGAGAACACTCATCTCCAGATGCATCCAAGGAGCATTCTGTCCTGCTGGGTTGAGGGAGATTCATCCCCTGCTCCTGCTCTCCTCACTTCGTCTCCACCCTCCTCCCATCCTTCTACCACCTCTTCACTCTGCTTACTGGACCATGCATCAGTATTGTGTTCTATTGACCATGTGCTGCTCTGTCACAATGAATGAGCCACGATCAGTGGGAGGCACCACCCAAAACAGCAGCAGTGGGAAGCCTTTTATTGAACTGCACAGCTGCCTACACTATAGAGCTACTGTACTTACAGCACTGGCTCCACTCATAAACATTCACCTCTGTTTTTTTTTTCATATCAAACACCTGCATCAGCACTAAAATGCTAAAGTGTTTTCACCCTCTCCTTTGCAGTGTGCTTGTGCTTCCACCGTTCAGAAAAGAGCCACATGCAGCTACAACACACACACCATTTCTTATCAATTGCACACATCATACTGTGATAAATGAGTCCAATAGCAGAGCAGGGTAGCCGATGAGTCCCAGCTACCTCAGCCCAGAACAGGGGAAGCGCAGCCAAAAGACAGCCAATACAGCCTGGTCCTCTAACCCCCCATCCCGGGGGAATGAGACATTCACCTCAGGGACTGCAGTACACCAAATATGTTACCACTCTTTACCATAGCACTGTGGCTCAAATCCATCAACTTCTGCCACATGCATATCTGCAGCAAAAGAGGCTCAGTACCAAAACTTTTGCTTTAAATAAAGGTTCTCTTAATTTGCAGCATGAATTAATGAAATCGTAACAGGTGAACAAAACAATAAATGAAAATCAAAAATCACATGAAGTGCACTGGTGAGTATGTTCACCAGTTCTTCAGATATAAATTTCACCAAGAGTGCCAGTGTCGCAGGGAATGAGACATTAATCCAGCAACTCAGCATCTCCAGGACCCCCCTCCCCTGAACCTTGGGGGGTGGGGGGTGGGATGAGAAGAAAGGGTGAACTATACCTGTTTGCCAGATGTATAGTGGTTTAGTTTCCACTGCGGTTTGTGCATCCAGCTCCCAGATGGAGAAAAAGAGCAGTGCTAACATCCACAGAGAGAGGATCGGTGCATCACGAGAGACCCCCAGCATCCCCACAGCTCTGAGCCCCATGGCCACCACAAGTAGCCTACTGTAGTTCCCAAAGCAGTCAGGAGGAAAAAAACAAGTGTGGCTACGAGGTAGAAAGCTGGGCTGACGTGTGTTTTCTGCTGGGTTTTTTTCCACACCAGTTCAACCAAGAAGTAATTCCAGGAGAACGGGGCTGGGGTGTCCTCCTGCTCTTCTCTTCGTCTCCGTTTTGTTTTCTCTCTTGGCACCTTAATGAGAGAGAAAGAGGTCTGGAAATAATAAAACAGGGAACAATAGATCCCAAAGCGCAGCCTGCTGCTGCTCCTGCTGTTGTATGCCGTGTTGATGCAGCACCTCCCACCCTCCCTCTCTAGCTCTCTCTCTCCTCACACACAGATACATGGACATGTGCCCACCCTCTTTCCTTTTTCAAAGGACTCTGAAGCTGTTCTGCACTCCAGCTGAAGGAGGCAGCTGGGTCAGGCAGGTGTAGGTGTGGGCTTCTAAATAAAATAGTACCTAAAAACAGACAAAAAACTCATTTAAAACTTAAATCCTTAACTGATAAAGACAATGTCATGCAGAATGTTTTTAGCATCTTAAAAAGCAGTTTTACATGATGAACCATACTCTACTTGAAATTTAACTTGTCTGATATAACAGTGGCTATAAACCTAGGTTTTGTCACAGTAAACAGTGTCTTAATAGATTGCCCATCTGGAGCCAGGTCCTGAAGTGGATCTCTGTTTTCACATGAAGACCTACTTGTGAAATATGACTTTTGTGTAAAAATGGTGTAAACTTAAATGGTTTTGCTAATCTGATAGATAGAAACATGCTGACATCTTAAAGCCATTAGGAGGGCTAGAGCTCATGTTATATTATGTATTAGCAGTACATAATATATACAGTATATGCCAAATTAGCTAGTAGCGATTCCTGTTTGTGCGCCTCCCTCTGTTCACCCCTCAATGCTTCTGTTCCACTAGTGAAGCTATTTACTTTTCTCTTTTGCCTATGGTGGAGGGGAAAATAAACTCCTACGTTTAGCAAGGAATCCTACAGGATAATGTCAGGCTGGCTGCCTGCCAATTGGTGTTCAGTGGAAGTGATGCTGCAGGACAGTGACCTTAAACACTAAATCTATTACAGATTTTTTTCAAAACAAAAAAAAATCTGTCATGTAGATTGGCTCAGTCAGAGCCCAGACCCTAACCCCATAGAAATGCTGCGAAATTACCTCAGAGAGCCATTCACACCTGACGTCCTAAGAATATGGGTGAGCTGAAGCAGTCCCATGAGGTAGAACAGTCCAGAATTCCTCCTGAACATTGTGCAGGTCTGATCCACAGCTACAGGAAGAGCTTGATTCAGATTTTTGCTGGCAAAGGAGCTCCAACCAGTTATTAAATTGACTAACTTTTTTCATCAGTACTTTGAACGTTCAGTGGGTGTGAGCAATAAAGACATGAAAAATTATAATTGTGTGGTATTAGCTGAAGCACATTGTGTTTGTCTGTGCTTGTGACTTATATGAGGATCGGATCACATTTCATGACCAGTTCATGTAGAAAATCAGGTAATATATATTACAAAAAATGATGACACTTTAGTTTAGGCAACTAAAGTAATGCTGATAAGGGAAAGATTAGACTAAAGGTACCAGTTTTTGACTAAAGGTTCCATTAGGAAACTGACCTGTAAAGATGAGACCATATGGATTTCAGCAGGTTATTATTACAAACAGCTGCTTGTTAAAATTAAGCAAAGTCCTGCAGCCATAGTAAATATGACATAAGGAATGATTCAGTACACAAAGGACTTTCCCACTGGAGACTGGTATTTGAGGAATATTGTATTTTTAACCATGACCATTCGAGAATATTGGCTGCATTTTAATGTACAGTACAGTAACCCAAGCAGCTGAGTGGGTCATGCTATTGTTCCCATGAAATGTAGTCTCAGGTAGGGTCAAAGGATGTATATTTGTCAGGTTTGCCCGGCTGCACCTGCCTCTCTCACTTCCCTCACTGTTTTTGCTCCTTACCCTGATTACACAATCTGGCACACCTGCTTCTCTTCCCCTGATTATCACCAGCTGCACCTTATTAGTCTTCTCCCTACTTATACCCTGCTCACTGTTCACTCCTTTGCCAGTTCAATCTCAATTTCTCAGGCCCCCTTCATTGCTCGTTATTGGGTTCCCCCCGCCTTTTTTCCTGCTCTACTTTCCTCCTCCATGGACTTCTCCTCCGGACCCTGGAAACTACTCAGCCCTGCCAGTCTCCACAATACAGGTCGATGCACAGTCTCCATTTAACTGTCTGTACGAACCCCTGTCTTCTCAGCCACCACCGCTTCAACCACAATCAGTTCAGGAGTGACCCCAGCGTCCGCAGCCCGGTCTACAACCATCCATTTCACGACTGACTGTTTTCCTCTGCTGCAGATCGACACCCGGTTCTTCTCCATCAGTTCTGCACCTGCTTGTTTACTTGTCTGTGCATTTCACTGTAAATACATTTGGCACTACTTGCACCAAAGTCAGCTACCTGGGTCCGTCTATTATTGCTCGCTCATTACTGTGTCCGAGCGACCCTAACAATATTGTTTTTCATATCTTATTTTCTTTATGCTTATACATTTGTGCCTCTTGATTTATTTCAATCTCAGTAAGGACATACATTATTAAGAGCTTATCTGCTACATGTTTAAGGATGATCAATCAACTGTATACAGTATGTAGGCTTATAATAATTGTCCATATGTGTATGATTTAAAGAAGTCTATTTTCCTGCCAGTGCAATTTCTACATCACCTCATTCACAGTCATTATGCAGTTTTCCTCAGGAATGCATTGATGTGTTTGGTATTTTCCTGCCATGAATGAATGCGCCTATGCTGAGGTGGGAGGAGTGGTACAGTTGAGGTTGTGTGTATGCTCATTAGGCAGCACACTGAAATTTTGATGCTTGTTTTGACCCAAAATAGCAATAAGGATAAAGCCTGCTCAGACCACAACCTATCGCAATCACGGGTGTTTTTACAATTTTCCTGACAAGCGTTTAGGTTGGGAAGTACAAGATCAGGTATCCAAATGTATTTTAATGGCCACACCAACTTAATATTAACCCTTAAATCCACAACTGATTTGCTGGAATTCACTGAATAATTTTTGTGTATCATGAAGATTATTTTTAAATAAGATAAACTAGTTCTCAGTACATGACAGTAGATATGAATATGGTCAAACAATGCTGCCACACGTCAGGACGCAGCTAGAGGTAATCTGCAGTCTGTGTTTGGGAATTTAAATCTATGTTAAATAATTATCCATCATACTGTTAGAAAATAACCCAGTTCTTTTGTTGGAAGCATGAGCAGTGATGACAGGAGAGGACTGTTTAAAATCAACAGAAAGTTTACTGAATGTCTGATCACAGGTAGGCCGAACAGCGCTGGGATCAGAGAGATAGAGCTCCCGCAGGAGTTCCATCCACTGACCCCGAATTAAGTTCTTACGATACATTTTATCTTCTTCGGCTGCTTCGCCCTGGACAGAGGTGCAGCCTTCAATAGTTTGTGATCCTATTGGTCATTTGGTGTGAGCCAGAGCTCGCACTTCCATGTTGAAATATGGTAAATCTAGGTATGTGTGTGTGTGTGTGTGTCTCAGGTGGTGAGCCCCTGGCCTCTGCAGGACATCCCAAGACAAAGCAAAGCTTGGGATGTGCTAAGTGGGTTGAGGTGTGAGTGTAAAATAGGCCTTTGCTAAAATGTAAATAGGCTGTCTGGTCACAAAGAGATGCAGACAGCTAGTCTCTACAGAAGTTACAGCATTCAAAGTAAGCAGATTCTGCTTCATTACAGCTGTAAGATATTGTAGGGTCCAGTTCTTGTTACCATGCTAACTCTGAGAGACGAGGCAGTCCAAGTAACTTCAAAACTGTGCTGATTTATTCAAAGGATCACAGGTAAAATTAACATTACACGCTCAGATATCTTGCAGCTCCAACATGCATGCAGGCAGATGCAAGATGAAAGACCCTGAACCCACCAGGCCTATACATTATATCCCCTCGGTTGGGCTAGCCCCATACTACACAGAAACGTCAACCGGGACATCTCTCTCACCAGCTTTGCAGCTGGTCATAGCAGTAGTCAAAACATGAAGCAAATCAACGTGTGAATGTGTATGTCTGTTGGTTAAGTGGTGTGTAGCTAAAAACATTCTCACGACCTCTAGTACATGTCGTGACTTGAACATAGGAACATTATGGCTAAGTCTACAGTTTTACACATCATAATAATAATATTAAACACCCTGTCTGCTGACAGTCATCAACTCTTCTCTCTAGTATCC